CCGGTGAACTCATCAGTGTACCCAAGAATTGGGTACCCAAGCACGAGTTTTTGAGGGATGAGGCATCCTTATCCGCTTGTGGGTTAAGCACCCAATTTAAAAAACGTATGTTGCAGGAACAACCGGCACAATTATGCCGGATGTACTATTTTACTTTGTGGTTGCTCAAAACGGTTATGTATTTGCATTTGTCTAATCAGGCGGTCTTTTTATTGCAGTTGAACCGTTAAGGATGTTGCCTACCTACAAAACTCCTGCCAAATCTGCTTCTGACCTCCGCAAGGAGAATGTAGAGAAGAAAAAAGTCGCCCAGGCGGCTAAAAATAAGGTAAGTCGGCCTGCACCTCAACTGTTTATTCTGCGGACATTTGGAGATTACCGCCTGACCATGTAGTTTCTTTTAACTCAGGATGGGGGCAAGACCCCTCGCTCCCTCAGCAAGCTAGTCCGGCCCAGACCGGATAGTGAGGTTGCAGCCCCCAAGAAGGTCCAGAAAACCTTGGTGGGCGACCGTCTGACTGTTGGGGGCAAGACGGTTCAAAACACCGGCTTTGGGTTTGATCTCTCAGCCAAACAGCCGGATGTCCCAGCGACATCGAAGGGTGGCATGCCACCTAAAGCTACAAGCGGCGCTGTAGCAGATGAGGGCAACCAAAGCCTTCAGGAAACTCAAGGTACGGCTGACCCCTTCAACCCTTTATTCTTTGCTTGGCCTACCCATGCGGGTCAAGTATTACTCCCAAAATTAGCCGGAAGACTCTTCTGGCAGCCAGCTATCTATAGGAATGTAATCCCCCATATTTTTCTTAGTAAATATTAATTATATATTTTTATGTATACGATTATTTTTAATAATTTTATATTTATATAAAAAAAAATATTTTGGAAAGATTTCACAAAATAAAAACAATAACTTACATTTCAATAGCATTTTACTCACTATTGGGATAAGATTACCATTCTAATTCTACAAAAATAAAAGAGCCCAAACCCTCATTTTTCTAATTAAGTAAACTTCTCCTAAAACCCTCCTACTGCCTTCTCCTTATTACTCCTCTACTGCTTCCTCCTTTCCCCATACACAATTCACGACACTCACAAAAAAAAAAAAAAAAAAAATTCGCTGCTGCCCCTTCGTTGCTAGTGTCGCCGCCGCACTGCTGCTGCCGCCGGCGACCGTCGCTGCTGCCTGAACCACCAGCCGGTTTCCTTTCATTTCCCTTTTCTTCTATCTTCCTCTTTTCTTGTTTAATTTCTGTAAAGATTTAACCTTCATATGAATTATTGATTTGATTATGCATATACATGATGAATATTGCAAATTTATTGAGTCATGTTGCGAATTTGTTGAGTTTATGATGTACTAAGTATATGATTAATGTCAGATTCTATTAGCTACGAAATAAGGGTTCAAAAATCGTGATTTTCGCAATGTTTTGGGCTTAAACCATGAATAATTGATTTAACTAATTACTTTGTATTTAAATATGGTTCTACCTTTAATTTTCGATGATTATAATGTAATTTTCAGATTTTCAGAAAAGCTAATTTTGGGTTTTAAATGTTGATTTTTCATGATTTTGGGCATAAAACGTGAATGATTGACTTAATTACATACCTTGTGCTTAATTATGATCCTAACCTTAATTTTTGATGAGTATAATAATTTTCAGATTTTTAAGAAAGCTGAATTTTTGGGCTCAAAGCAGGAAGATTAAATTATTTAATTATAGTATGTATAAAATTATGTTTAAATTCAATTATCTTGATTATAAACTAAATTTCAGATTTTAACCTTAACTTTAAATAGCTGTAAATCATGGTTTTATGTCGGATTTCAAGTTCTCAACATACTAACGTAATATATAACGATTGTTTCAAGTAAAAATGTTTATGGGATTGTTTTACAAGCTTAAAACGAATTTTCAGATTTATAACACCACTTTAAAGTTGCTGAAATTTTTCCTATAAGCCATATTTTTATGATTTTTAGCATATAAACCCATGGTTGAAGTACTAAATTATTAACTTTGGCTATTGGGAATAATTTAAGAGCATTATTTCAATGATTTAAAGGATTTTAAAATAGTTTGGTATTGCTGTAAAATATATTGCTTGGGTATTAATGGAACTGTGGTTGTTTTGTTTAGGAAGGGACTTCGTAGAAGGTGACTTTTAGCCTTAAAGTGGCCAACCAATTTGTTTACTCAAGGTACGTACAAGAATACGAGGAACCTTGATTTTAGGAGCATGTTTAGGGACTTGGAAAAAACCTAGAATCATGCTAGGGAACTTGTAGATTGGTTGGAATTGTTTGGTAATGAGTTGTTTGATGACAAATGTGATGGTTAGTTTAATTCATGCTTGAGAAATGTGCATTGATTTTTCCTTATGAGCAGTATTTATGCAATAATGTTCAAAGTGAGCTTAGAGGCAAAGATATAATGAATTATTTTGATTACTTGTTCGTTTATATTGAAATGGAACGAGTAAAGGAAGAATTAAAGTCTTATAAGATAAAGTTGAGAATTTGAGGTGCCTTATGAACTTAAGGTGTTTATACACCGAGGTAGTTAAAGGATGCAATAATAAATGTTGTTTGTCACTGATAAATTGAGAATTTAATTGGAAAATTGAATGATTTGATTGATTGATGTATGATTGGTTGAGTTGTTTGCATATGAGTCATCACCAAATTTTAAACTGGTAAATCACGTAAAGTGCAAGAAGGATGAGCAATAAAACTCTGGATTTGTGCACATCTAGAGTAATGACAAACACGGGTTGGGGTTCACGGGGTATTAGCCGTGCACTTTTCAGAGGCCGTCTGATCTACGAGTCTCTTGTTTTAAATTCTTTTAAAATTATAATGAGTTAGATGAGATCTCATACTAGCTATGGCCACGGAGTCGCGCCCGTCTGCCATTGGATGTTTATTAATGTCTTCCGAAAGGAGGCATAGGGTTTTCTTATTTAATGTTCCGGAATGGAGCACAGGGGGACAACCCGGTCTATTGCTTAATCCAATCAAATAATGAAGTGATCAATGCTATTTAAATAAAAACTTAGTAATGAGTAACTATGGAGTCATGTGTTCGAGTCAATGATAATATTGTGAGTGTATGGAATGTTTGTTAGTATCATGCTAGAACTCTTTACTATATTTCGTAACTTGTATGTACTCAGCGTTGCTGATTGCGTGCTTTTGTGTGTTTTTCTTTGGTCATGGCCTTCGCCTTCAATGACCCTGTAATGATCCAATTATTACACTTGTGATATTGGGGAGCAGATTCATCACAAGTTTTTGCATAAACTGTCTTGCATCAGGGTGATGGGATTTGAGTGGAGAGTTGGTTAACCAGTTAGCTTATTTCATAACACAGATTGAATTTTATTTTGGTGTTGGTTCCATTACTTCCTATTTTACTGGATTTTGAATAAGGGTCGTTATGGTTCCAACTTGTAAGACTTTGAGTTTTGACTTCCAGTTTTGAAACTTATATTCTTTTTAAAACCAAGTTAGTTTTCCGTTGCTGATTTCTGAAACTAGCCTTAACGTTTGAACACGTGGCGGTAGCACTCCAATAATTCTCTTACAGGTTATACAGGTTTTACAGGTCTTACAGGTTATACAGATTATACAGGTTTTACAGGTTATACAGGTTATCACAGGTTTTTAAGGTTTTCTTTTAAAGAGAATTATTGGGGTGTTACAAAGTGGTATCAGAGCCAGGTTTGATTTAATTACTACTAAAGCCAATTAGTATGTCTTAGGCGCCTAACTAATCAATTAAGGATTTTGTTTTTAAAAGTCAAAAAATGATTTTAAATTTTAACCGTGTTTGAATTAATTGTTTTAAATGTTTATAAAATAACTTTGAAGCTTAAATTATTTATTTGGTGAGATTTGGGTAGAATTAGAAAGGGCATGCATGTATATTAATTACTTTGCATTTATTTAATTATTTTGCAAGTTGCTTAGTTAATAAATTGTGTGATGGTGCTCTAATTAAATTTCTTTCATGATGTGTTCGTGTTATGCTTTTCGAATGCTCGTTACTTTGGGATGACGTAGAGAAGAGATGAGTGACGTAGTAATCATGTCTAAGGAGGAGAGAGAATCTAACAGTGAAGATACTCTAGAAACTATGGAAAGGATTCTAACTCCGAAATTAGACCAATCGGAGGAAGGTTATCAGGACTTGCATGAGTTTAAAACGGCAAAGAACAAAAAGAATAAGATCAAAACTTACGAGAGAATTTTTCATGAGATGACTCTTATTTTCTCGGACGATGAAGATGACCTTAAATGGATGATTAGAGAACCTGCGGATCCAAATGCTGGAAAGAGAACTACTAGGAATCCGAATCCGCTTTACAAGGCTATAATTATTAAAGACTCGGAAGATGAGAATGACCCTGATTTTGACATAAACACTTATAAAGAGAAGAAAGACAAGTATTCTGATGTGGTCCCTTAAAGATTTGGCTTATTAGAGTATAGTAGTATTAGTAGGGTTTTGCTATCAATAATGATTATTAGAACCTCATTTAGTTTTGACTTTGACTATTGGATTTTAATAAGTAGCTAGAGCTACAGAGTTATGGATTGAGATTAATACTTTTATTGGAGAAATAATAATAGTGATTATTCTATTATAAGAATTCCATTTCTGATTATATGTTTTATTCAAGACCAATATAAGTTTTGTGATTACATATAATTTTGAGGAAAAATTTCCTTGTTTATGATTAAGTTGAGTAAGAGTGGCGTGGGATGGGAATTATTTTTCTTAACTTTACTTAATCTTGCGTGTGGATTGTTCTATTATTATTATTTGATTTTGCTTGGGACGAAGGGGTGCAAAGACCAAAGTACCCTTTTGAACCAATTTACGTGATAAAATGTAATATTGTGACTAAATGAATATACGTGCACAATGTTCGAATTCTGTTTAAACTAGAGCAAACGTTTACCTTATTTCAGGCGTAGAACTAGAATGACAAATAATGCTGCATTAGCTGAGGCCATCCGCATGTTGGCTGAGAATTTGAATCAGAATCGAGCTGACCAACTTGATCCCCATGCTGAGATGTTTAAGAAGTTAGCCCAAGTTAGGCCACCAGTTTTCAAGGGAGGTGCTGATCCTACCTTCTTGGAAAACTGGATTCGAGAGTTTGATAAGCTATTTGTGGCACTGAATTGTCCTGAGGGTATGAAAGTTGATCAAGCTGCTATGTACCTTAAGGATGAGGCTGATATCTGGTGGAGAGATAATGCTGAAATAATTAAGGCCAAACCAAACTTTCGGTGGGAAGTGTTTAAAACTGCATTGAGGGATAAGTTTTACCCCCCATTTTTGAAGAAACAGAAGGCCCAGGAGTTCATTAACTTGGAGATGGGCCGAATGTCAATTTCGGAATACTATAATAAGTTTATGACCCTTGCTAGGTTTGCCCCTGAGGTTGTCCCGACTGAGGAACTGAAGGCTCAGAGATTTGAACAGGGATTGACCAAACAGTTGCAGAAAGACCTAGTTGGGAAAGTCTTTAAGACCCTAGATAAGGTATATGAGAGAGCTGCACACATGTACCATTTGTATTCTAGGGATGTGGGGGGAGAGTGCTAAGGTCGGAGAGAAGAGGAAGGACTTTGGGAACTCTGAAAACCAAGGTCACTTCAAGAAGTTTAAGGATGGGGGCTCATCTGAGAGGAATAACCAGAATGTTAGTAGGTTTTCTAACGCTAACAATGGAGAGAGGGAGTTCAACTGCAAGAGGTGTAGGAGAAACCACCTTGGGAGAGACTGTGAGGGGAATCTGGTGACTTGTAGCATCTGTAACAAGAAGGGGCATAGAGAGTACGAATGTTATACCAAGCAGAACCAACTAGGAAACGGTGGGAATAGTGGGAATACCCAACAGAGACCCAACAATTTTCATAACCAGGGAAGTAGGGACAATGGTCAGAATGGGAAGTTCGGTAATGGTAACAGTAATGGCAGCCACAGACCTGGAAATGGCAACAACAACTCAGGCAATGGCAACAATGGTCACCAAGGGAAGAGCAACGCTCCCGGGCGCTTGTCTGTGATGAGCAAAGGAGAGGCTGAAAGGTCCTCAAATGTAGTCACTGGTACTTTTTCTATTCACTCTGTTTCTGTCAAAGCCTTGTTTGATTCTGGAGCAACTTACTCTTTCATCTCTACTTCTGTTGTACGCAAATTAAACTTATCTGAGTCGAGTCATGTCAATATGTCAGTCAGTCTGCCTACTGGCAAACTTGTTCATTGTAATAGGTTATTCAAAGGCTTGCCTTTGAAAATAGGAGAGGCTGTTTTTCCATCGAATCTTATTGAGTTTAATTTGGGGGACTTGGATGTCATTCTGGGAATGGACTGGCTAAGCTTATACAAGGCCAAGATAGACTGTGAGATACAGAGAGTGCACCGAGTGATCCTTTGGGTAAGTCGTTGTCCTATAGACGTTTTGGGAAGCCGAAAGGCATTGGGATCATTCTGCTTTAAAGGTTAAGAAGTTGGTGAGTAAGGGGTATCCATTGTACTTTTGTTGTGTCCAAGATTTGAGTAAGGGTGAGAATAGGCAGATTGAGGATGTACCCATTGTGAATGAATTTTTCTTTTTTTTAAGATGTCTTTCCGGATGAGATTTCGGGGATGCCACCTAAAAGGAAAGTTGAGTTTGCAATCATGCCTTTTGGGTGCACCGACCTGATGAACCGAGTGTTTCATGAATATTTAGATAAGTTTGTGGTTGTGTTCATTGATGACATATTGGTGTACTCGAGGAATGAGGAAGAACATGCTCAATATTTGAGAAAACCATTCTGGAAACTCTTAGAAGTAACAAGCTGTATGCCAAGTTGCTTTTCTAGGGCACTACTTTTCTAAGGAGGGAATATCAGTAGATCCTGCAAATATCAAGGCGGTGAGTGAGTGGCCTACTTCTAAGAATGTGGCTAATGTTCGTAGTTTCTTGGGATTAGCAGGGTATTATAGAAGGTTCTTAAAGACTTTTTGAAGATGTGAAGATAGTGAAGGTCCTTTGGTCTAACCATGAGTACGAAGAGGCTACTTGGGAGGCCGAAGAAGAGATGAGAAAGAAATACCCCGAGTCTTTTGGTGAGGTGAGTTACGAGGGCGTAACTCTTTTCTTTTAAGAGGGGTAGAATGCAGTGTGATTTCGCGTTTTACCCCATTTATGCCATTTATTGCTTAAAGATTGCATGAACTTGCTTATTATTGCCAAGTATTGTTGTGTTTGCATGCGAATAAAGTACGTAAACTTTGGCTAAGTGCGAGTTATCGAGTATGAGCTCAGTTTGTTAGGCATATATGTTTGAGAAACAAGCAATTTACGGCAATACAAAACGTAATAGTTTTGAGAAATTATGGATTTTGGGTTAAGTTTCGGGGACGAAACTTCTTTTAAGAGGGGTAGATTGTAATTCTCCATATTTTTCTTAGTAAATATTAATTATATATTTTTATGTATACGATTATTTTTAAATTTTATATTTATATAAAAAAAATATTTTGGAAAGATTTCACAAAATAAAAACAATAACTTACATTTCAATAGCATTTTACTCACTATTGGGCTAAGATTACCATTCTAATTCTACAAAAATAAAAGAGCCCAAACCCTCATTTTTCTAATTAAGTAAACTTCTCCTAAAACCCTCCTACTGCCCTCTCCTTATTACTCCTCTACTGCTTCCTCCTTTCCCCATCCACAATTCACGACACTCAAAAAAAAAAAAAAAAAAAAAAAAAAAAAATCGCTGCTGCCCCTTCATTGCTGTTGTCGCCTGCGCTGCTAGTGCCGCCGCCGCACTGCTGCTGCCGCCGGCGACCCGTCGCTGCTGCCCGAACCACCAGCCGGTTTCCTTTCATTTCCCTTTTCTTCTATCTTCCTCTTTTCTTGTTTAATTTCTGTAAAGATTTAACCTTCATATGAATTATTGATTTGATTATGCATATACATGATGAATATTGCAAATTTATTGAGTCATGTTGCGAATTTGTTGAGTTTATGATGTACTAAGTATATGATTAATGTCAGATTTTATTAGCTACGAAATTAGGGTTCAAAAATCGTGATTTTCGCAATGTTTTGGGCTTAAACCATGAATAATTGATTTAACTAATTACTTTGTATTTAAATATGGTTCTACCTTTAATTTTCGATGATTATATGTAATTTTCAGATTTTCAGAAAAGCTGATTTTGGGTTTTAAATGTTGATTTTTCATGATTTTGGGCATAAAACGTGAATGATTGACTTAATTACATACCTTGTGCTTAATTATGATCCTAACCTTAATTTTTGATGAGTATAATAATTTTCAGATTTTTAAGAAAGCTGAATTTTTGGGCTCAAAGCAGGAAGATTAAATTATTTAATTATAGTATGTATAAAATTATGTTTAAATTCAATTATCTTGATTATAAACTAAATTTCAGATTTTAACCTTAACTTTAAATAGCTTTAAATCATGGTTTTATGTCGGATTTCAAGTTCTCAACATACTAACGTAATATATAACGATTGTTTCAAGTAAAAATGTTTATGGGATTGTTTTACAAGCTTAAAACGAATTTTCAGATTTATAACACCACTTTAAAGTTGCTGAAATTTTTCCTATAAGCCATATTTTTATGATTTTTAGCATATAAACCCATGGTTGAAGTACTAAATTATTAACTTTGGCTATTGGGAATAATTTAAGAGCATTATTTCAATGATTTAAAGGATTTTAAAATAGTTTGGTATTGCTGTAAAATATATTGCTTGGGTATTAATGGAACTGTGGTTGTTTTGTTTAGGAAGGGACTTCGTAGAAGGTGACTTTTAGCCTTAAAGTGGCCAACCAATTTGTTTACTCAAGGTACGTACAAGAATACGAGGAACCTTGATTTTAGGAGCATGTTTAGGGACTTGGAAAAAACCTAGAATCATGCTAGGGAACTTGTAGATTGGTTGGAATTGTTTGGTAATGAGTTGTTTGATGACAAATGTGATGGTTAGTTTAATTCATGCTTGAGAAATGTGCATTGATTTTTCCTTATGAGCAGTATTTATGCAATAATGTTCAAAGTGAGCTTAGAGGCAAAGATATAATGAATTATTTTGATTACTTGTTCGTTTATATTGAAATGGAACGAGTAAAGGAAGAATTAAAGTCTTATAAGATAAAGTTGAGAATTTGAGGTGCCTTATGAACTTAAGGTGTTTATACACCGAGGTAGTTAAAGGATGCAATAATAAATGTTGTTTGTCATTGATAAATTGAGAATTCAATTGGAAAATTGAATGATTTGATTGATTGATGTATGATTGGTTGAGTTGTTTGCATATGAGTCATCACCAAATTTTAAACTGGTAAATCACGTAAAGTGCAAGAAGGATGAGCAATAAAACTCTGGATTTGTGCACATCTAGAGTAATGACAAACACGGGTTGGGGTTCACGGGGTATTAGCCGTGCACTTTTCAGAGGCCGTCTGATCTACGAGTCTCTTGTTTTAAATTCTTTTAAAATTATAATGAGTTAGATGAGATCTCATACTAGCTATGGTCACGGAGTCGCGCCCGTCTGCCATTGGATGTTTATTAATGTCTTTCGAAAGGAGGCATAGGGTTTTCTTATTTAATGTTCCGGAATGGAGCCAGGGGGACAACCCGGTCTATTGCTTAATCCAATCAAATAATGAAGTGATCAATGCTATTTAAATAAAAACTTAGTAATGAGTAACTATGGAGTCATGTGTTCGAGTCAATGATAATATTGTGAGCGTATGGAATGTTTGTTAGTATCATGCTAGAACTCTTTACTATATTTCGTAACTTGTATGTACTCAGCGTTGCTGATTATGTGCTTTTGTGTGTTTTTCTTTGGTCATGGCCTTCGCCTTCAATGACCCTGTAATGATCCAATTATTACACTTGTGATATTGGGGAGCAGATTCATCACAAGTTTTTGCATAAACTGTCTTGCATCAGGGTGATGGGATTTGAGTGGAGAGTTGGTTAACCAGTTAGCTTATTTCATAACACAGATTGAATTTTATTTTGGTGTTGGTTCCATTACTTCCTATTTTACTGGATTTTGAATAAGGGCCGTTATGGTTCCAACTTGTAAGACTTTGAGTTTTGACTTCTAGTTTTGAAACTTATATTCTTTTTAAAACCAAGTTAGTTTTCCGCTGCTGATTTCTGAAACTAGCCTTAACGTTTGAACACGTGGCGGTAGCAATCCAATAATTCTCTTACAGGTTGTACAGGTTTTACAGGTCTTACAGGTTATACAGATTATACAGGCTTTACAGGTTATACAGGTTATCACAGGTTTTTAAGGTTTTCTTTTAGAGAGAATTATTGGGGTGTTACAAGGAAGGGCGTATGTGGCTTTCTCACCATCTCTTTCTGGTGTAGATCATTCTCCTCGCTAGCCGGATGCTACTCAATATGCCAGGGCCATGCTGAAGGCCATTCCTAAGGATGAGAAGGAGGCAATCCCTGGGATTACTGCCTTCAATGCTTACCGTGTGATGGTCAGCCTGCCTGAGGTAAGTTTTCTTCACTTAACCAGTATACATCCGTTTTTTTTAAACTTGTTTATTTAGTATACATCCGGTTTTCTAACACCGAATGTACCTTTGTAGTCCTTGCTGCGCGTGGAGGGGCTAAAGAAAGCCTATGCCCGCAAGCAGGAGGAGGTAAGAAGAGCTAAACGAGAGGCATCTGAGGCCCATAACGTAGCTTAGTATTCCATGATTGTGCATGATTTAGAAACTAAAAGTCAAACCATGCAACAGGCGGACTCCATCAAGACACTCCAACAGTCCCTCGATGATGCCCGAACCAAAATCTTCAACCTTCAGGAAGCGGTTAATAACGCCGAGAATGAGTTGAAGAAGAACGAGGAGTTTCTCCAAGACTTGGAGAAGACCAAGGCGGAAAACTCCCACTACAAGAAAACAGCTGGATTCCGACGGAATTTTTTCGTCGGAAACATCGGAAAATCCGTCGGAAAACGGCCTTCCGACGGAATTCCGTCGGAATCTGTCTGTCGAAACACACTTTGTAGGAAATTCAACGTTTTCTGAGGGAAATTCCGTCGGAAGCCACTTTTACGACGGAATTTCCAATGGAATCCATTACGTCGGAGCGAGTTTTGACTTTTAACGAAATTCCATTGCAATTTTTTGACGGAAATTTCCGTCGAAAATGTTAATAAAAAAAATTAGCCCACCCCCCCATCCCCACCTGACCACTGCCAGCCCACCACCATCCCCCGTCCCCCACCCCTCCAAACCACTGCCAGCCCCCTTGTAGGGTTTCGTAGTGACCCTCACTACGCGGAAAGAAACCCCCCAAGACCCGCCCCGATAACTAAAGCAATTAAAGCATGCAAACATAATTAATACATAATTAAAAGGAGAAGGGATAAAGAATTATACCCTAGACGCGTGCTTCGCTCGCTAAAAGAGCTCTTACTTCAACCTCGCAAATGCAAGGCCTCCGACGGTTCGTACCCTCGAACCCGACCCGATCGTCTAAGCCCCGAAGGTTAGTCGGGACCCGGACAAAATATTAACTTGGAGTTTTACAAACTTAAGGTATTCTCAACAATGGAGATGCCTATATAGTTCCACTCAAGTGTGTTCTTTCCCAAATGCCAAACCCTTGGTATTTATAGGAAAATGAACCCTTGAATTTCAATCTCCCATCAATGTGGGAGAATGAGTAAATATGATAATTTATTTAATTCTAAATTAAATAATTAATCAAAAGCAATCACCATGCAACAAGTGTCAAGGGGAGAGAGAGAGTTAGGTGAGGACCAAAAACCAAGGGGGGGACCATTGCCTTGCTCCCCAAGGCTTGCTCCAAGCATTGGTCCCCACCTCTCACTAACCGGCATCACCAAGGCAGCTGGGTTGGCAGCCAGCTAGCATGCCAGCACGCACCAGCTCTCCTAGCTAGCACGCACAACCCCCAGCAGCACGTGCGTGC